TTGAAAAAATTTTAAGTATTAGAATATTTTACAAATGATTATTGCAAAAGATGACAATTTCATTAATGATTTTCAAATCTAAATTTAAGCAGTTAATTAAAATTTTAAACTTTTTTAAAATCAGCAACAAGGCAGCTGATAAAAAGGGATGCCAAGAGGCCTATAAGCATGGGGTCATCAAGATTTAGGTCTTTCTCCAAGGTGATGGAGGAGTGGGAGCCGTGGTGGCAGGAGGGGGAGGATGACGAAGGGTTAGCAGTGCTGGTGAAGATAGCGATGAAAGTTTGTTAGGCATTGAAGAACCAAGCGAAGGAGGCGAGAAGGGCTTAGAGGAATTGGCAGGGATTGAATTTTGCTAAGTAAAGTTTGACTATGAAGCCAATAGATGGAAGGTGGTTCTCAAGCTGTGAAAGTTGGGATTCATTGGTGGATTTATAATGAGAGAGAAGAGGTGTGGAATTTGATTCCACCATTAATGTAGCAGTGAGTTTGATCATCAGAGAAGTGTCAAGAAGGCATGTTTAATTTATATATGCATTTTAGTTAAAGAATAATACCACCAAAAACTAGTTTTTTTTCTAAACAAAAAGTTAATGTGAACCGATCTAGCCTACATAGATTTTTTTTTATTTAGGTTAGGACTAGAAGGGGAGAGCCAATGATAGCAAATTGATCTTGATGTTGAGAATTGGTGAAAAAGATCTCATTGAGAGACAAATTATGCCCAACAACTAAAGCAAATTAAAGGACCAAGTGAAATATTTTATTCATGAAACAATCTAAGTAAATGACTGAAATGCCCCTCTGTGTTAACTAAAAAGTTTAAAAAAAAGGCATAAAATCATTACCGGAGCTCTAACCCTCCTCTAACAGGTGATAGTGAGCCTGTCGAAGCTTTGGCTGGCTGATAAAGGGTCACCAAAAAAAGTTAGTACCCTTTGATTACATTTAATTATTAAAGATTATATGTAGACTCAACAACTAGAGAATGTAATGATTTTGGCTTAGGATGCAAGGGTTCTAGCTTAGATGCAAGGGTTCTGACTTAAGTGCAAGTGTTGTAGTTTGGGTGCAAGTGGTCTACTTTGGAGTATAAGGGTTCTAGCTTGGGTGCAAGTAATTTGGCTTGGATACAGACTTTTGGTTTAGGGTGTAAGGGGTATGACTTAAGGTGCAAGTTACAAAGCTTATGTTATACTAACGTGAATTATATATAATTCATAGTCATTTACATGTGATTCAGGGGCATTGATGGTGGCATATTCTTTGTGTGTTTTTTTTACATGTAATCCATTGGATATTACATGTATTGTTCTCAGGCATGCTTGCGAATTTCTTCATACATTGAATTAAATGTAATCTGCAATCCTTTACATGTAATTTGGAGACATTGATAGTAGCGTGCTTTTTGTTCTTTTTTACATGTAATCAGTTAGATATTATATGTAAATTTTTGCACGCTAATTTACACGTCCTTTACATTTTCAAATTACATGTAATTGTTTATAATTATCATGAAATCTAAAGTTGTTATCATGAGCATGTACTCTATTTGTTAAATTGCTTGTGCTTGTCTATAATTATCGTGTAATTATTTATAATGACACATAATTATTGATGGTCATCATGAAATAATATTAGGCGCATTCATAATAAGTTTCATCTTTTTTAAGTATTATACATTATATAACAAGTCATATTAACCTATAAATGTTGCAGATTCAATAACGTGACATAGAGAATAACTAAATTGTCCTTAAAAAAAAAGTGATGTGAAGAGGAAGAGTGAATAACAGTAATTTTAATGAAAGAATATTAGTTCCTATAGTTTTAGTTTGTCTTCTTGCCAAATACAAATGAAACTATACCATGAGGGTAAGAGGGACACCATTCTCATGTTAAACTATATTCTATTTTATACAAAAAATAAATAAAAAAGATGATTATAAGTATACTTCAAAATACAATCATAATTTTATTTACTATTTTAAAAGAATTTCTTGATCGACATTTCTTTATAACTTACTTAAGTTACAACATGCATGTAAGAGTTTCTTAACTTAAACCCTATTTTTTTTTTCTCTCCAAGCAAAATTTTATGTTTCGATACATCTAAAACATTACACGTGACATAAAAGTGAATAGCCATGACTAGTGGGACGTTGAAACTTTGACCCAAAAACATTCGACTCCGGAATTTGAATCCTACAATGCCGCATGCTTTTGGGACGTGGAAACTTTTTTGTTCCATTCTTAAATGCATGAAATATATATATATATATATATATATATAAAAGAGATCACAGCTGCACATTTGTTACCTTATGGGAGACTAGAGGTCCTAGGAAAAGATTGCACTCAGCTTACAATGGAGTCTATTCGATCTGGACTCTTGTTTATCAATAATCAGCACTCCATGCCTCATCCCTTAACCTTGCCGCTAGAGTTTTTTTTTTTTGGGTTCGGACATTATCACATGTCCCTATAATTCTTGGAACTTGTAGTTTACCTTCAAGGTTGCATACACTGTAAAAACATATTGGGACACTACTCCCAAACTTTCCACAGCTGCATGTAACCGTTTTTTTTGTATTTTAATATCATTTCCTTTTTAACCCAAAAAAAAAATGACTCACATTATCTGTTTTTCATATTCCCCCAGAATATAGTTGAATAATTGATGTTGTCTAAAAAAATTTTAAATTTATCTTTATTAAATACATAATGTTTAAAAAAATATTCGTCCCTCTCATATATATAGTAACTTCTTAGCTAGTAGAAAACTGTGAAACGGTAATATTCAAAGAAAACAATTAATGACCCATTTGTTTTATATAAAGTGGCTTATAAAAATAACAATCAATTTCTTATAGAATATGACTTTTATATAAGATTGAGGGGGTAGTTATTGAAATCATTTTATTTATTTATTTGTATTTATAAGAAAAATTAATCTTTTTGTCCTTGTAGTCTTGACTTGTTTAAAACTCAATCCCTCACATATAATTTAATATAACACAATCCATGTACTTTTGACTCACTTAAAACTTAATCGCTCAAGTATGACTTGATACAATTTGATCTAGTACTTTTGACTCACTTAAAATTGGGTCCTTAATCTTTCCATCATTTATAATTTTGACATTGTCATCCATAACTCACTTTAAATCATCACTAAGTTATATATCCTCCATGACAAAAAAACAAACATTATTAACACCATTAAAAATTACTGTTATGGCTCCGAATTTTTATATAACTTTTCCACTATACCTTTGATTTATTAGTTTAAATGAACGGAAAAAATAATTTAGTACTTAATATTGTTCTAAATTAGTTTAAATGAACGGAAAAAATAATTTCTTCAAAATTAACAGTTAATAAATGGGAGGAGTAATTAACCAACTGAAGTTGGTTATAATGAAAGGAATTATAACCACTTGAACATAAGGTAATTTGAATTTGTGTGAATGCGAACCATACATTAAGAGAACCAATCAACAATGATTGTATCAAAAAGGAATAGGGGGAGTGCTTATGTATATATATATTGTTAGTATAACTGTAAAACTATCAATTGAGAGTAATTTTCCATGATATATATATATATATATATATCTATCATGAATATATATATATAGAGAGAGAGAGATATTTTTTGGCCAAAATGAATCATAAATACCTATATATATTATACACTGATCCTATTTATAAGTTATTTTTAGCATATTTCATTAAAATTAAAGAAAAAATTTAAAATTCATTAATTCTATCTAAAAATTTAATAAATTATCAACTTTACTCTTATTAAATATATAGACTTTAATAGCGTACTTTCTTTTATCAACATTTAATGAAAGTTAAAAGGAATAACTTGTTATATAAATTTAATGATATAATTAACTTATATATAGTATAAAAAAAATCTTCTCTTCATACTTTATAAATAAGATAGGCAAAAGGAGTATACATGTATATATAAGTTAAAATAAGGAGAATCACGTCCGGTGACCTTTCAAGAGAATTATTTACAAACAAAAATCAATAATAAATTATCATTACAAAAAATAAATCTTTGTTACTATTTTTAATGATAAAAAATTTTAATTATCCTCTTGAGACGACTGATTCTTCCATTAAAGAATAGACATTGCTGGTCCAAACAAAATCTAATCACATCTGGTTTGCTGGCGAGTTTGGGTTTTCAGCAAAGTGGATCACATTGTCTAGGTCAAATGCTCGGGCCGCATATTAACCCCAACCATATCCATACGTGTCCTGTCCGAATTCTGTTTCCCTGCTTATCTTGGGATGAGCATCATTGTGCTCAGCGGCTGTTATATCTGTTCATGGGCTTTTTTGTCCTTCTAAAACCACAAAGGTATTATAATAATAATAATAATAAATATTTATTATAAAATTATTATTGTAATATTAAATAAGTAAATAAATTTAAATTATTGAAATTTGATATGAACAGTCCAGAATTATAATAAAAAAATTAGAATTGTATTTAAAAATATCTTATAATTTTTAAATTTATTGATGGTGCTCAAGTATCCATTTATTAGAGGATATCTTATTTGAGACATGATTGAGTATTAAACATGGGCAACTTTTATAATGGAAATTCAAACATTGTTTGCCATGACTGCTCAATTAATTTTTTTAATAATTCTTTTAGTATAGTTTTAGACTATTCAAGTAAAATGATATATGTGAATTGTTGATATCAAATTTAACAATTTAAATTTATTTAGTTATTTCATATAGTAATAATAATTTTATAATACTTATTTTTTTTATTATTATTAGAATATTTTTGTGGTTTTAGAAGGAAAAAAAAAAAGCCCATGAAACGACGCAGCATAGCCGCCGAACACAAGATGAGCAGGGAAACTGACTGCTGTCCAAAACATATTACAATGGTCAACGAGGGCCATCGGTCTATATATGCTTTTGTTTTCCCCCCATTGTCCTGTTCCTTTTGTCATCTTCATTCCCACAAAACAAATATTTGCTCTCTCTCTCTCTCTCTCTCTCTCTCTCTCTCTGAATCTCTTGTTTTCTTCTCCCTTCATCTTCATCGGCACAAACCATCATCCACTTCCTAGCAATTCTGGGACTTGAGCATAAATGGGTTCCAGATCAGCGCGATGGCGCCAGACTTGGGCTCCACAGCCATTGACGCCCTTAATGGAAGGTCCCGACCCTGAGTTGCGAGAAGAAGGACCCAAGAAGGAGAGCTCATGGGAAGCCATTAGAGAATGGTTCAGAGCTCAGAAAGTTTCCCCAGCAGGATCAGGACCAACTTTCTCTTCGTCATCATCACACTCTTTCTATGGATCCATCCAAGCCAGAACTCAAGACTTGAGGCTCCTCCTCGGTGTCCTCGCTTGCCCCTTAGCTCCCATCCCTTTGACCCACCATCCTTCACACACCTTCCACATCAAGGATATCCCATTTGTAAGATCTTTTATATCACATTCTCATCTTTCTCTGCTAAACTTTGCTGATGATGATTCTAAGATGGTACATTAATATTGTCGAACAGGAAAACTCGACGGCCAAGTACATTATACAGCAGTATTTGGCGGCCACTGGGTGTCTGAAACAGCAGAAGAAGGCGACGAAGAATATGTACGCCACCGGCACGGTGAAGATGGTGTGCTGTGAAACGGAGATTTCGACGGGGAAGAATGTCAAGTGTTTGGGGACAAGAAGCAGCGACAATGGCCGATTCGTTCTGTGGCAGATGCTTCCCGGAATGTGGTCCCTGGAATTGGTGGTCGGTGGCCACAAGGTGGTTGCCGGAAGCAACGGCAAGGCCGTGTGGCGGCACACACCGTGGCTCGGCACCAATGCAGCCAGAGGGCCCCAACGGCCACTCCGTCGAATCATTCAGGTACTGAAAATTATTCTAGTGCTACAATCCTACAATCAAGAGTTAATTACGTGAGGATGTAAAAGTGAGTGAAAATGAGTGGAGGTGTGAAGTCTGATATAGAATAAAATTATTTTTTTTTATAATAAAATTAAATTTAATAACTAATATAAAATAAAAAGAATAACCTAAAAATTTGATCATTGGGTTTTTGATCTAAGAAGAAATATTTTTCCGTCACTCTTGTCTATTTTTCCTTTTCAGTTTCACGACAGTAGCTCTACATTGTAACGAAATTAAATTTTTACAAAAAAAAAATATATCGCTGAAGAAATGATAATATCTTACTACTTTGGGATTTCATTTTTTTTTTTAACCAACACTTTGCGATTTCATTGCGATGGAGTATTTGAAGGACAATATAATTATTCTTTTTGGATGATTATTCCATCATTATATATGTCAGACAGAAAAATAAAGAGCCTTCTAGTTTTGGGTTTTGCTTGGAGCCAAACAGAGTTTGAACACGACGTTACTTTTGTGAAGTTGCCATATTTTGTTTCTTTCTTTTTGCATCTTTTGATTAGTGGGGAGGCTGTATTTGTCAGAATTTGAGGCCAGGGGTGGGGACAAAACTCAGTAGTTTCAATTCAAAGAACTTTTTAGGTTTTACAAAAGAAAGATAATTGAAGATCGAGGGACAAAATGAAACCTCAGTCGAATAAATGAAGGGGCACATATAGTTATATTCTAGCCTGACAAAGTGGCCAAAAACAAAAAAAAAAAAAAAGTGGCCATAATGGAGAAATTGTGTCGCATGCTTTACCCAACACAGTAACTGTTTGATACTCATTCTAATGCTTAAAAGCCTTAAATAATGCCATGTGATCACTGTATGTATGACATCATCTTATATTGTTTGTTTATACATAATGATCTTGGGATTGCCACCTTAACACAGGTACCTATATTTGGGGGAGAATGATAGATACATTTTAAAAGTACCGATTAATTTAAATTAAATTTTAAATGCCAAACTTTAATTTTTTTTAATTTTATAATTTTATTCAAATAATTTTACAATTTATTTTTTAAATTTTAATATAATTTAAGAATAATAAACTTATTTTTTATATTTAAAATATAAAGTTATAAATTTATTATAATAAAATAAAATTAAAAAATTAAAAATTAAATTTATAAATTCTTAGACTTTAACACTTAAAATTTAATTTAAAAGAATTTTTATATCATTTTCTTATATTCCTCCATTATTGTCCTTGTCCTTTTGCTTTATCTTTTATCTCCTCTCTTTTCCACTTTAACGACTGCTGCTCCTACTCCATCTATTTCTGTGTTATTGCACCTCCTTTCTTGACCAGTTTTCTTTCTTGTGTTTCTGCTTTATTTTCTTTTCTTTTTTTTTTTTTTTGGGTTATTTGTTTTTTCTTTATATTCCTTCCTGCACATGAAAAAACTCCGAACAGATTCCCTATCATTATAATATAAGAGAATATTTTAAAAGGAGAGAGCAGTGTTAGGTTCATCCATGGGGTCTGGTTAGATCTCTTTCTCTCTTTCTTCAATTGAATCTCCCTAATTCTCTGTATAAAAGCATCTACAAGTTGGGGGAAAAACATTTTGTTGAATTTATATATACAACTAATCCTACTGTTTGTGCATAGTTTCACATGATTTTTTTATTAATATTCTTGAAATAATTAGATAATGTGTCTATGTCTGTATAAAACTACTTACAATGCAATAAATCAAATCTCAAAATTGAAACAACTTTAATTTCTTAAAAAATAAACTTGGGGTTGATATCGGCAAATAATTGTATCCCAGGGTTTGGATCCAAAGAGCACAGCAAGCTTATTCACCAACGCAGAGTGCTTAGGCGAGAGCAAAATTGGGGACGTCGGATGCTTTGTATTAAAGGCATCAGCAGATCGTGCGGCTGTGATTGAAAGGAGCGAGGGGCACGCCGAGATAATAAGGCACACATTGTATGGGTATTTTTGTCAAAAGAGTGGGCTCCTCATATACCTTGAGGACTCTCACCTAACAAGGGTTCAAATGGATGAAACCCTAGATAGTGATCCTGTGTACTGGGAGACCACCATTGGCAGCAGCATCGGTGACTACAGGGACGTTGATGGAGTGATGATTGCCCATCAAGGACGGTCCATCGCGATGGTATTTCGGTTCGAAGAAATGTCAATGCAACATAGTAGAACCAGAATGGAAGAACATTGGACCATTGATGATGTTATGTTCAATGTCCCAGGCCTCTCAATGGATCATTTCATTCCTCCTGCTGATGCATTTCCCAATTCAAACTCACCATAACAAGATCGTATCTCACAAAGTTTTGGTGTTTGCTAAGTAAATACACGATTATGTATCTGGAGAGAGAACAAATTAAGTATAATTCGAATCACTCTCTCCCTCTCTCCCTCTCTCTCTTCACACCTATTTTTTTCTCTCAATTTTTCTATCTTGTTTTTGCCAAAAAGGGATGAATTTGAGCCAAGAAGTCAAGCTCAAACAACAAATTCAAAAGGAGGAATCTTCGAGCATGAGATTTTGAGTTTGAGTTCATGTGGATGTAAAAAACACTTTTAAAAGAATTATTCCCAATTAGGTCCAATAATACTCGAATATGACCCAATTAGATAACCATATAAAAAATAAGAAATGTTGTCTAGATATTTCTTAGCCTAATTGGATTCTTACTTCTTGTTAATCTATGTTTTATTTATCTAAATTTGAGTAGATAATATTGTTCCATCCTAAGAAGGCTAAGCTCAATTGATGACAATTTCGAAACTAGCTACGAAGACTTTATGAAAGTTTTGTAACATAAATTCCTTGCTAAGAGTGGGATAAGGGGTTCATACTTAAGGTTTAAAGGTCATTTTTGCCCTTAAACTTTTTGCATAGGGTTTATAATATCTTGAGAGTCGATTTTAGGTCATTTTTGTCCTTAAACATTCAAAATTGGAAGCCTTATTATCCTACTATCCACGCACCTTCTATCACCATTAATGGATCTTATGCCTTTGATAAGGAGGTATGGCAGGAGAGACAGTAAAAAAAGACGTAGCAGGGGATAGAGAAATAACCTTAAAGCCTTAAAGATTGCCAGGCTCAATCGCAGGATATTGGAAAGCATGAGCCCTAGAGGCACTCTCCTTAATATTAGAAGTGCTCTCAAAGCCATGTAGTTAGCCAAATGATCATTGATCTGATTCATGTTGTCCTTGTCCATCCCCATAAGAGCTGCCAAATAAACAACATCATAATCCTCTAAGTCCTTGGTTAGTCTAAGATTCTTGTGTGAAAAACCATGCGCTTGGACAAATCATTATCAAAAGAAAACAAGTAGAAGGCCATAAAATTGTCCTTTGGGTTGATGTCATAGTTGCGAAAGGTTATGGTGGAAGGGGAATGAGTGTAGTGTTGGGCAAGGATGGTCTCCAACAATGTGGTAGGTCCGAAAGTGAAGTTGAAGACACCATCTTGCATTGATGAGGTTTGAGTTGGTTGATGATCACTAGTCCAAGTGGTAGTTGGCACAACGATACATTTGATAAAGATAGGTTTGATAGAGGCAATGACGATGAGGCTTATGGAGGTAATGATGGAATGATTGTTGTGGGTGGGGGCAAAGTTGTTAATAAGGTGATTAGGATTATGAAGATGAATGTGTGAGAGAATGGTTATTGGCATGGTTATGCCAATCTAGGAACCCATTTTTGTCCTTTATTTCAAACCAAAGTTATCAAAACCGAATCAGACCAGTTGATTCAATTAAAAATTGGCCAAGTAGCCAATTCAAAATCAAGGCCAAACTGGGGAGATAGAGAATTGCTAGTGAATCGGTTGAACCGACCTTAAACTAGCTAAAACTAGTAAAATCGACGAGAAACCGATTGAAGAGGACAAAATGTTTTTTATTTTTTATTTTTAATTCATATTTCTAAATTATAATTTATACATATTTATACCTAATAAGCATTATAAAATAAAAAAATGCAAGATATATATATATATATATATATGAGTAATGTATATGTGTATATACTGTAAATTTATAAATTATAAATTATGAAATAATTGTATATTTTGGATGAAAATGATATAATATTGAAGGATATTATCTTTTTATTATAAATTTTTTTAAAATTTATATTTATTTTTGTAACTATATATGATTATTTTTTTATACTTTAAACATATAATATTTAAAATATATTAATTTATTTATGATTGGTTGGATCATGGTTCAAACCATGAACCATGAACCAATATCTTAACCAGTTTGATGGTGAATTTGATTTTCATAACATTGTTTTGAACCCATTCCCGTCCCCCAATGTCTTTTTTTTTTTTTTTAACTATCTCCCTATGTCCCAGCATGTGACCTCAGCAAAAGTATGAGACCCACTAACGATGTGATAGAAGATATGTGAATCGCAAGACAATAAGGCTTCGTATTTTAAATGTTCAAGGACAAAAATAATCTAAAATTGAGTTCATGACAAATGCAGATCCTATGTAAAAGGTTTGAAAGTAAAAATAACATTTAATCCTATACTTAAAAGTATTTAATTAAGAGAAAGTATGTGATGAATAATGGATGGAGTCTTAATTTATAGTTGAATGAAATCTTTAAAGCGATGGGAACAAAGAAAGTTGTTGGAATGAGGGAAAGCGAAATCTCCCAGAAGAACTTGGAAATTGGAATACAGACCAACATATACTAAAGTGTTTGACCATATCCGACTTGAAATACTTGAATCTTCGGTTTAAAAAAAAAAGTTAGAGAATAGTATAATACTGTAATATCCATTCAAAACTTCGGAAATATACACCATGGTTATTCGTTATTGTAATAACTTTTGTAATATATAATTTTTTTATTAATATTTTAAAATCAGTAAATTGTCAGTTATTTTCAAGAATTTCATTTTCATATCCATTAATTAAAATATCCATGGCGCGCAAGTTTTGTTATTCAGAAGCAGTAAACACGAACGTCGAACCATGACTTATTTTAATTTTTCGGACACTGGAACACATCTTTTTTTTTAGATCAAAATATTCATTACAAGTGTTGAGTTTCTTCGTGGGCGGCGGCTGATCCTAGCCCAGTGGCCCAAAACATCCATTGAATTAAATTAATTGATTCCGAGAAAGATATATTATTAATTATTATTCATGATTAATTAGTTACTTTTTTTTACATAGCCATCTCATTGAGTCAAATTCAAGGGTTGTCAAGTCTTAAATAGGGATAACTCTTCCAAGACTTTTCTTGTATTCACATAATTCGAGAACTTGTGTTTAAGCGGTTATAGTTCTTTCCATTAAAATTAATGTTTATTGGTTAGTTAATTAATTAATTGGTATTTAAATTCATCAAAAACTGAATCTACCCCTTCGTCAAAAGATGATGAAAAGAGTGACAATAGAAAGGAGATATGATTTCTGTTCCCAAAAAAAAAACAAAAAAAAAAGAACGAGGAGGAGGAAAAGGAGATATGATTGAAGAAAAATAATTTGTATAATTTCTTTTTTCACTGTTACAAAAAGTGTTATATATACCGGTTATTTTTTGTTATATAAAGTAATTTTTAACTGTTATGTATTCTAGCATTATATATTTTTTGAGCTAATATATAACAATTTTTAATTGTTATATAGTTGTCAATTATATTCCTATAATCCTATTTATAAAACACTTTCAATATGTTTAACCGAAATTAAAAAAAAATATTAAAATTTATTAACTCTATCTAAGAATTTAATAATGTCAAATTTACCCCTATTAAATATACCTACTTTAATAATATATTTTTTCTCTTCAACATTTAATGAAAGTCAAATGGAGAAATTTGTGATAAAAATTTAATGAGATGACTTATAAATAGAATAAAAATCTTCTCTCTCTACTTTATAAATAAGATTAGAGGAAATATAGCGATTGTTTCCAAATAACCACTAAATATATGAGCATATTTTCTTTAAAAAAAATTAGGGGATACATCATATTATACTATATTTTTGTTTTTTATCTTAAATTCTTGAGCCAAATAGATTTTAAAAAAATAGAAAAAACAAATGTTAGAATAGTAGAGTCAATATCTAGATCTGAATTATTAACAACAATTGATGCTAATATTTTCCATTTAACAAATTAAATGCAAAATAAAAAACAAAAACTATAGATCTAGGAAATCAAATAAGCATCCTCATGAAAAAGAAGAACTCGAACCAGTATCACACAAATATGAAACAAAAAACTACAAATAATGGTTGCAAATCTAAAACACTAGCCTTTCATTTAATAATATAACCAAGAATGGCGACGAGATAGAGTTGAGGAAGAGTGATGTCAGTGAGATTGAGTATTACACATATTAGATAATGGTGCATGGCATTGTGCGTGCACATAAAATGATGGAGAAGGGCCATACACCGCGCCAAAGGCCATGGCCAAAATTGATCGCGTGACTATTAAAGATGAAACTTTAAAGTTTGGAGTAAAAGATATGCTTGAATAGCAAAGAGAGTTGAGTGTAGAGTGGAAGAGTAAGGTTATGTGAGAGGGAGAGGGGGAGGGAGAACGTTAAGTGTTGCGAACGTGAAGCATGAGAGATGGATTTAAATGTGGGAAATAACAATGAGAGAGAGAAAGAGTATATGTGCCATTAGTGGTAGTGCCAAAACCCTAAGCTCTAGAGTGCAACATTTTTAAAATTAATAATTTAGAAATAATTAAAAATTCTTGAACCAAAAATCCTTAAATTTAGGTCAAGAAGTGCAAAATATTTAGGCTAAGGGATACAAAATATTAGAATATATGAATCTTTATTATAATTTTCTCTGAGCCTAAGGGGTGCATTTGCGCCCTTGGCTTCAATGTAGTGACGCCCATGCATGCCATTGTATATATATATATATATATATCAATGGTTCAAAAATAATAATATTATCAACATGTGTGTTATATAAAATTTGTGTTTTAAAAGTTTTAGGTCAAAAAACTATATAGAAATTTTTTAAATAACAGCTATATAGTCATTAATTGTATAGAGATTATTTAAAAAGAATTGCCATGTAGTCTTTAAAAAAATTAAAAAGAAAAGAGACTATATAACGATTCTTTGAAATAATGGTTATAAGTGGCTAATTATAAAGAATTGCTATATAATTTGTAGGAAAAAAATTAAAACTAATTTTTTTGAAATAACCGTTGAATAGTTTTCAAGTTAGTTATTTCGAATAATCACTATATAATCTCTTTTCTTAAATTTGGCATTAACTATATAGTTTTTTTTTTCCAAAAACCACTATATAAAAGGCATTATGTAACATCTCAAAATTTTAAGACTCGAATTTATTTAAAAAATAAAATAAAATATCTATAATTAAATTAAAATTTAGAATAATTTAATAGAGGTCCAGAGATTGAATTTTACTAAGTAAATGTTGGGTTTTATTTTATTTTTAATTATAAAAAAAATTACCAAAGTTGACCCAGGCTTTTGTGCTATTAATAAAAAATATTGGGCCCTTCTTATAATTTTTTTTAAAGTCTTATATCAGTATTTTAAAGCGAAAATAGACACAGAAACGTAGAAATGAAACAAGGA